TACCATCTCACACCTGTCAGAATGGCTATCATCAACAAATCAACAAATGACAAGTGCTGGAGAGGATGTGGAGAAAAAGGAACCCTAGTGCACTGCTGGTGGGAATGCAGACTGGTGCAGCTACTGTGGAAGACAGTATGGCGTTTCCTCAAAAAGTTAAAAATGGAACTCCCATTTGACTCAGTAATCCTATTTCTAGAAATACATACCAAGAAAACAGAGAAACACCAAAGAAAGGATATATGCACTCCTATGTTCATAGCAGCACAATTTACAATAGCTAAGATTTGGAAACAGCCTAAGTGCCCATCAACAGATGAATGGAATGATGTTATTTTTTAATCAAGTGCCTGGTTTACAGAGGGATAAACATGTACATAAATCAGCATCTGGACATAAAACCAGTCAGCTTCACAGAAACGATATAATTCGAGGAGAGCTTGAAAAGGGGAATATTTTCAAAGTTATAGGCAGTAAGTATGAACACCACAGGAAACAATAAGGCAAAACTCTGGGGCTAGTAAAGAGTTATAAGAGGTCCAAAATGAACCAGGGGAAATGAATGGTGACAGCAACATTGAGATGAAGTAGTTATGTGGCTTGTTTGCAGATGCAGCTACTCCATGGTGACCCTAAATAAGGGGGTATGGAGAATAACTATTGCAATCTCACTGCCTTCATCTGATTACTTTCTTTGTTTTGTTTGTCCTAACCCAAAATGAAGCCAGAAGACAAATATATGCTTTCACATAGCCATTTGGGTCAAACTCCCAAGGCCCAAAGCAAGGTGATTGCTCTTATGAGGACTGGTAGATCCATATTAAGATTCTCAAATATATGGCCTTATGTGCACTTGTAGTTTATTTGTAAGTCAAGAATTACACCAAATCTGTCTATACTAGCAATGAAGGCTAAGCAACATATCTCCATAATGTGTTGGGGAGACAGGATTTTTTTTCTCTTTGTGACAGCATGGATGGACCTGGAGAGCATTATGCTAAATAAAATAAGCCAGTCAGAGGATGACATGTACCATATGATTTCACTCATATGTGGGATCTAATGAAATGATAATTTTATCAGATTTATATAGAATGTAAGATGGGCCATTCAGTACATAATCACTTTATCAAAAATTAGTTTTTTCTGCATGTGGTATTTTTTATGTTTTATGATGTATGATAAGTTTCATTAACAACAGCAAAATATTGGAGCAAAATGTTTAAATTTGGAGTCCTCTATATTCATTATCACCCAAAAGTGAATTCCAGTTAGTGATTCAAGAAGGTTAGCTCCAGTACTCTGCAGTTTATAAAGCACATTTATTATCCTTTTTAGTTTTAAAATACAACTACCAGATTTCTTTCTAGTATTTTAAAGGAGGATCAGTTCTTATTTGTACAGGAGGATTGATCACTGTCATCCAATTCTCTGGTTTTTGGCTTATTAAGAATCAGAGATCCTTCTGTTTCAATGTGTCCAGCCATTGCATTATTCATTTGCATCTATGTCAAAGGGTATAGAGGGAAAAAGAGTAAACTGAAATGTTAACAAATCTCATTGACTACTATTTTACAGTCTTGATAAATGATATAATAGTTTGAGAGTGTTAATTATCAGTTAAAATTAAATTTTTGGATTTTATTGGTTTTTCACGTTCATGTCATTCTGTCTCAATACCTATATTAATAAATCCTAAACTGAATTTTAAAAAATGTTACCCAGGTACCCATAGAAAGCTATGAATAACAGTTTTCTTATGATTTTAAATTGTAATCAAATTTTCAGTCAAGATCAGGTCTCTAACATCTTTTGAATGAATGAAATTCAAAAAGTTTAATATATAAAAAATAAGTTAAAATCACCCATAAATTACTAAAATATAATACACATCAATATGTGTATAGTATATGTATATTTATGTATGCATATTTGTATATATGTATATAAAACCCTAATAGCCATAGATCAAACCATTTCATTCCTACTTTTCAAAGGAAAGCACTGTTTGCTTATTGTCCTTTCTATTTCTGTATGGTTTTATATACATAAAAAATACTTATATTGGCATCAATGTTATATGTTTAGCCATAAATTTGCAAGAATATATGTGTCACAAAAATGAGATTATATTATAATTTTCCATTCTCATGAATAATAAGATATGGACAATTTTAGACTAGTATATGTAGCTCTACACCATTCCTTTATAACGGCTACCTAATATTCCATTTAATAGCTGTATCATTCCCATATTAATGAATATTTAAGCTCTTCCCTGGTGTTTTGTTTGTTTTTGTTTTATTACAAAAATAGTTTAATAGTTATTTTTGTACAAAATATTTTTACTCATGTGTTTTATTATTGCTTATTATTATTTTTTTATTTTTTCATGCTTCATGGCCTTTAATTTTTCAGAGACCAAACTCTAATCAAACTTAAAGGTCTGGTTCCTCTTCCATATGGTACATTTTTATTTTTTTATTTTCAGATTTTTACATAGGGGTGGGGGAGGGAACCCAGATGGCTACATATTGCTCTCAATACATAAATAAATTTCACTTCCTCTGGAAAATTGCACAGTAGAATTAGTTGGGTGGTCAGCCTGAACCCACCTTCCAATTTAAAAGCACATGTTTTTCTTTCTTTTTTAAAAAAATATTTCTTGTTGAAAGTATTACATATGTCCCTTTTTTTCCTCCATTGAACTCTTCTAGCCCACCTTTACCCCCTGGTTCATGGCTTAGTATATTTTAAAATTTAATGAATACTTACTGACTGTCTTCCAAAGGGTGTGTATCAATATACCTCCCCTCCCTGCCAACAGTAGATGAGTACCCTGGAACTTGTGCTTTACTGAATTACAAAATATTCCATTTTTATTGCAGAGATTACACTGATAAGGATGTCCTCTGTACATGGAGTAATCAGTGTGTGTGTGTGTGTGTGTGTGTGTGTGTGTGTGTGTGTGTGTGTGTGTGTGTGTGTGTTCTATTTCATCCCCATAAATCCATGTGTGGTAATATTTTAAATGTGTTGTGAGTATGGACTATGTCTTACACTAATAGCATAAACCCCATGGTGACAAGTATTCTGTGGTCTCTTGCATTCTGAGGAGAACTCAGCAACTGTTTGATATGATGCTGAGAACAGCATTCTGCCAGAGTCTGTGCCAACAGACAACATTAGTCATCCTGTCTGTTCCAAGGGGCTGAATTGTTTGTTGAAATAAGCCATTAGGAGTAATAAAGCAATGTAAAACTACAATAATTTTTCCTGAGTTTGATAATGCTAAATACACATACACTCTGTCAAGGTAACCAGTAAGCAATATGAGACTGCTGCTAACTTGGGCTCATAGGTGGCAGCAAAATCAATTAGCCTTTTCCACCTATGGCAACTTAGTGATATTGACCTACTTTATAAAGCTACATGACATTAAATTGGTAAAACAAAAAGCATCTTTTATTATGTATTTTCCATAGAAATTCTCACAACTAATCCAATGGTCCATACCTCATTGTAGTAAAAGTAATTCTTGATTAATAACCAATTTTCTCAGGTGCCCAAAAGACTCAACAATTTTATCTTAGGTAGGTCTGACCATACCTGAGATCCATACACAAATAATATGCTGATATTTGAGAAGTAATAAAGGCCAAAAATGGAGCAGATGTTATGCTTAGCTTCAAAATAAGGTAACATATACGTATATGTAATTATTTAGTATTCTATTAGCAGAATCTTTTAAAACAGATTTCAAAATTTTAGACACAACTGACATATTCAGAAGTTATTTATTATTTTTAATAAATATTTATTGTTCAGATTATTACAGTTGTTCCTCTTTTACCCCCATAGCTCCCCTCCACCCAGTTTCCACCCCACCCCATGTCCTTACCCCCCCTCCATTGTCCTCGTCCATAGGTGTAAGATTTTTGTCCAGTCTCTTCCCGTAAGATATGTATTTGTCACTTTGTTGTTCATAATTTTTATCTTTACCTTTTTCTTCTTCTTCTTGGAGAATACCCTTCAACATTTCATATAATAATACTTTGGTGATGATGAACTCCTTTAGCTTTTTCTTGTCTGTGAACCTCTTTATCTGACTTTCAATTCTGAATGATAGTTTTGCTGGATAGAGTAATCTTGGTTGTAGGTTCTTGGTATTCATCACTTTGAATATTTCTTGCCACTCCCATCTGGCCTGCATAGCATCTGTTGAGAAATCAGCTGACAGTCATATGGGTACTCCCTTGTAGGTAACTAACTGTTTTTCTCTTGCTGCTTTTAAGATTCTCTCTTTGTCTTTTGCCCTTGGCATTTTAGTTATGATGTGTCATGGTGTGGTCCTCTTTGGAGTCCTCTTGTTTGGGGTTCTCTGCACTTCCTGGACTTGTAAGTCTATTTCTTTCACCAGGTAGGGGAAGTTTTTTGTCATTATTTCTTCAAATATGTTTTCAATATCTTGCTCTCTCTCTTCTTCTGGCACCCTCCATAATTTGGATGTTGGTATGCTTGAAGTTGTCCCAGAGGCTCCTTACACTATCTTCATGTTTTTGGATTCTTTTTGCTTTTCTGGTTGGGTGTTTTTTTGCTTTTTCATATTTCAAATCTTTGACTTGATTCTTGGGGCCTTCTAGTCTGCTGTTGGATCTCTGTATATTATTCTTTATTTCAGTCAGTGTATGCTTAATTTCTGATTGGTCCTTTTTTATATCCTTGAGGGTCTCATTAAATTTCTCAGAGGTTTCTGGCAGATTCTTGAGTAACCTTATAACCGTGGTTTTTAACTCTATATCCAGTAGTTTGCTTTCCTCCATTTCTTTCATTTGTGACATGTTTCTTTGTCTCCGCATTTTGGCTGCTTCCCTGTGTTGATAGAGTGGCT